CTTAAGATTCACAAGAGGGGTTTTAGTTTCCTAAGTACCCAAGTCAACCGCATGACCCATCCTCCAAAGTGGTATTATAATGAGGCTTTACCCCTTCAACAAATATTTCTTGAGTAGCTGTATAGCATAATGTTATAGCTGTATAGCATAGAACATGAGTTCTGGACCAACACTCAGTTTGTTCCCATTACTGTGACTTACCAGCTGTGTTACCTGGGGCAAATTCTTACCTCAGAAAGCTATTGTGTTGGTTAATTGAGTTAATCCATGGGAGGTGTTCCACAGTGCCTCACATAGAGTAGACTAAAAACAAAACAAAAAAAAGGTAAAATTATCATTATTGTTATTGTTACTTTTAGCCACTGTTTTAGGTGCTAATGAGTCAGTGGTCAACAAGACAGACACACAAGGTCTATATGTGGACCATATTTTTAAGTGTGGAAAGACAGGCAATAAACAGGTAAATCAACTAAAGAGATAATGTCTGATAGTGATAAGTTTTCAGAGTGAAATAAAATGGGCCAGAGTAATAGTGATGGGAGTGGGTATTTTAGATTGGGTGGTTGGGGGAAGCCTCTCTGAGGAGGTGACATAGGAGCTAAGATTGAATGACCTGCTGGAAAAGAAACATTCTAGGCAGAAAGGACAGCAAGTACAAAGGCCTTGAGTTGGGTATGAGAGCTTGATATGTCCAAGGAACAGAAAAAAGGTTAATATGGCTAGATATAGTGCTTAAGAGGGAGAATGGGATGAGATTAGGTGGCAGAGGTGGGTAGAGGCCAAATCATGTAGAGCTTCATAAACCCTGAGAAAGAGTTTCGATTTTATTCCAAGTGTTGTAGGAAACTGTTAGAAAGTTTTCAGGAGAGGATTTACATTTGAGATACCAATAGATACCACTAAAAAAAACAACATTCAAGTAGAGGTGACTAGTAGGCAGTTGATTATAAAAGTTATTACCTCAGGGGAGACATTGGGGGTAGATATGTAATTTATAAGTCAGCAATATAGATGGTATTTAAAGTCATGTGAATTGCTGAGATCAGTTAGACAGAACGTAGACAGAGGACTCAGGACTAAGCCCTCAGGATACTCTAACATTTTATAGAAGTTGCTGGAGAAGGAAAGGAGGTAAGAGAAAAGACATTTTAAGCATGAAGGTGTGTGTCATAGAAACTGAGAGAAGTGGCTGAATGTGTCAGATGTTGCTGAGACATCAAAAGGAGGACAGAGAGGTGAACGTTGGATTTCTCAACATGAAGTTCCTTGTCATTATAAAGAATACACTTCTACCATTAGAAAAGAATATTAGACTAGGTATCATGCAAGGGACTATCATAATGTCTACTGTAGGGGAGAAAAAATAATTATCCCTCTACCCTTCTGAATTCTTGGCTGAGAACCGCCCCCCGCAAAAGACAGATTAATGAGAGAAAACCAAACAGAAGTTTATTAGCATGTATACCTCATGTACATGGAGATATCCAGGGAAACATGAGTAACTTCGTAAGGTAGCCTAAACCACAAGTTTAAATACCATCTTCAGCTAAAGACCAAAGAAAGAAAGGTGTGAGGCTACCAGTTATGGGGGAAGGAGGGTTACCAGTAAAAGCACCGTCAACAAGGGTCAGGTTTGTTATGCAGATTTAAATCTGCAACTTCACCATTGGTATTCTAGATACCATTGATTCTCTGGTGATTTGGAGTCATCCTTCTCTTCCTGGTACTGAGAGGGAGACAGCCTTACAAATAGAGATTTCCTTTATAAATGTAAATATCTGTTACAAAAGGGTAACTTTTACTCTTTTCAGAGTTTTTCCTGTGTCTGCTTTTTCTCAATCATCTCAAAATAATCTATGCCAAAGAAGCATGTTTTGGGGTCGCATATTCTGCTCCCTTTCACTACCTTCTAACCCTAGATGGATGAGTGCCTTTTATCTAGTTTCCAACGACTCTAAAATTTGAATAGTGGTATTTCTCTGCCTTTTTGATGAGGTTGTTTATGAAGAATATGGGACATAATGGAAGGAAAAGTATATTGTAAATGGTGAAGTCCTATACAAATACAAATTGATGATGGTAGAATTATTTGTAATATTAGATTATAAATTTCTTCAGGGTCTGGATTAGCTTGAATGATCATTGTATCAATCACAATGCTTAGCATAGTACTAATCAACATCTTATATTTAGTGTCTACTCAAAAAAATAAAATAAAAAGTTTCTAAATGAAATAAAGGGATAAAAAGGAATGATGGTGTCCAGTTCTTTTTTACCTGTAGTCCCAAGTAGGGTTTGGTGATATGGATACAATTGTGACAGATTTCAGTGCTGACGCGTGCCATCTATCACTTTTACAAAGTAATCACTTCGAAGTTAAAAGAAGAACTTGGAGATTGGGCTGCTTTCCATTTGTTATTTCTAAGATAAACCATCCTGAGAATTTTTCAGGTTTTCTCACTTTGGTACACAGGCAGACTTTCTGAAATCAGTTTTTGTTCTACGAGAACAAATTGATGAAATCGTGTATCACCACATGGACATATTTTAGCTGGTGAAAAATTGTGTTATGATAAATGGGAAACATACAGTTTTTTTGCCTTTTTTAATCTTTGGCTTTTTCTCTGTGTTGTACAGATGTTGAGCCTTCTGAAATATACAAACAGTTTAGTACTTTGCATTGCAAATATAGTACAAGTAAGTGACCTTTGCAAAGTGTTTTCTGTCTAGCAAGTCTCTGGCGTGAGTCTGTTTTATTCAGGGAAGAGAGACTAGAAAATAAAAATGTCACTTTCATTCTATGCTAAGAAATGAAGAGTATTGTCTTATTTCTGCAACTCTTAAACAGGATGTTTAGCTGTTTCTTAAAAATAAGAAAGACATGACATTCTCAGAGGTAAAATCAGAATGTATATGTGGAATTATGTACCGTTTTGTTGGTAAAAAGAAAGTAGAGTCAGTCAGAAATGCATTAGTTTTTTTAGGTCTATTGACATCCAATGGACTTGAGGGTTGAAAGATTTAATGTCGCTTGTTGCAAGGGAAGAGATTGTTGTGTTCTAATGTGAATGCTAATACTTAAGTAGCATAAGAAAGAATATAGGTAGGGGGCATCTCACTTTTAAAAACCTGGTGTATCTCATAAGTGTCAGCTGCAAAGTAATTTTCCAGAATGGTCTGATTTCCCCATTGACTTCCATTGTAGAACTACAACTGTATTCCCAGGGAAAATAATTTTGGGCCCAGGTTGTAATAAAGCACACTGAAGAATTCAGAAAATCGTATAAAATCAAGTATTTCAAGACACAATTATCAGTACCTGATAACAGTGTCACAAAATATTCATACACTGTAGTGGATCTTAAAATAGCAGGCTCCAAACTGTGATATTATCCTTCTTTTACAATCCCAAGTCTATACCTTTCCATTTAAAGACATTTTACTTCTGTGATCATTATTGATTTTTAATAGATTAACTCTAATTTTAAAAGGTAGATTTGGTTTCCTTTATTCTTCGTGGTTAGCCCACTTACCTTTCTCTGAAGCATTCTTATCAATTAGCATTCAAAAATTATTAGCCATAGAAGAAAGACCAGAAGAAAATGTTCCAAAATGTTCATAGTATTTGCTTGTGAATTGTTGGAAATTTTAGTGTATTTATGTTTTTGTATTTGTAAGTCACCTAAAGAGATCATTTTCCATATCTATATCTTCTGTAATCAGGAGGAAAGTATTATTTCTTTCTTAATTATATAAATATAAATTTATATTTATATATAATGAGACACCTTTAGTTGGACACATTTATATATTTTCTTCATTTTATGCTTTGGTAGTGGTTGTTGTTATCACTTTTCTGGTAACATTTTTAAAACAATGATGTAATGCATTTCTGGATAAATAACTTTTCTAGAACATACTACTCAAAGTGGGGTCCTGCACTGGCAGCCTCAGCATCATCTGGACACTTGTTAGAAATTATAATCCTCTGGCCCCTGGGCTCAGGCTCAGCAAACAGCAAATTGTGTTTTAGCAAGCCTTTTAGATGATTAAGGTTCTAGAGCTACAGCAAAATCTCTCTCTCCCATTCTCTCCCCCCTCCCTTCCACCCTCTCCTTCCCCCTTTTTCTTCATGCCTCTCCCTCTCCTTCCTTCTTCTCTCTCTCTCTGCATCTCCTTCCTCTCCTCATGTGGGTTATATATATATATGTACACACACACGTGTATACATAACATATATATAGAATTTGCCATAACCTCTCTATCTGTATAGAATATATGTATTTAAAAAGAGAATATATGTATATAGATACTTTTTTTCTCAGTTTTTTGTTGCTCTTTGTTTCTGCCCTACCTTGTTCATAAAAATGGTATGAGCCAGTTTTCTGGTATTTATACTTATGTACTTTCATTTCGCAAACATGTTCTAGCAAACATGTTCCACATGGTTATACATTAAATAGTTCTGCCTAATTTATAAATTTTCAAAACTCACTACCAATATAATGACTCTAGCAAGTTGTTATGGGCTGAATTGTATCCCCCCAAAGTTCATATGTTGAAACCCTAACCCCAAGAACCTCGGAATGTGACTGTATTTGGAGACACGGCCTTTAAAGAGGTAATTAAGGTAAAATGAGGTCCTTAGGCTGGACCTTAATCCAATATGACTAGTGTCCTCATAAGAAAAGATTAGGACACAGACAACACAGAGAGAGACCACCATGTAAGGACACAATGAGAAGGCGGCCATCTGCAAGCCAAAGAGAGAGGTCACAGAAGAAATCAAATTTGCCAACACCTTGATAGTGGATTTCTAGCCTCCAGATTTGTGAGAAAATAAATTTCCGTTGTTTAAGCTACCTATTCTGTGATATTTTGTCATGGCAACCCTGGGAAACTAATACATAAGTATTTACAGAAATGATGGTGTAATTCAATCTTAACAACTATTGATTGCCTTTGAGGTACTATTGGATCATGTTCCTTAACAGAAAGCTACAGCTTTACAAAGAGTGCCAGAGAGCAGTATGATAAACTGTTCAACATGCACAAGCAAATGGTAAAGCTCTATGAGAATCTTGGAGAATACTTTGTTTTTGATGCTAAGAAAGTGAGCATAGAAGAGTTTTTTGGGGATCTCAACGACTTCCGAACTTTGTTTCTGGTGAGTAATACATCTTAAAGCATTGCAAGGCCTGTTGCTTTTGTTTTTAAGTAATTTCTTCTGTTGGCAATTTATGTACCTATTGACCATATTGATTTCATGTTCTAGTACTTTAACGGGAATTGAGAGATATTTTATATCTGTGGCATGGATAAAAATTGTTGGCTGCCTTAATGTATAATAGGGACCTAAATGAATTATCTTCGACTTTAGGTATACATGAGAATGTTTCCGCCCAAATTTTATAGGAAATGAATGAATTGGTACTTAAATGACCCTGATTTTTATATGGCATACTGTTATAATTTGACGTAGCTTAAAAATTAATATCTAAAATCATCTTTAACCTAATACTTTAAAATGCTGTGATTTATAAACAAGTTTCTTTCATAGTCTAGATGAGAAACTGACTCTAAATCAGGCCATGTAAATGACCTGAATATCTAAGATTTCTTTCCGAATGTGGGCTCTTGTTTCAAACTGTAATTCTTGGGGATAATAGTAAATATTAGCATTATTTGGAGGTGAGCACTCGGGGTACCAGTTATGATGCTAGAGGGAAGCAAAAGCTTTGCTGTATAAAGGCTGTGGAAATACTTGTCTGCATCCGCTGAGGGAATAGAATATCACAGACTCCGACTGTGCTAGTCATAGAAAGATAGGCACAATAGTTGATATTCAACAGGTAAAGGTCCATATATTTTAAAGAAGGAATTCTAGCAATTATCCCCAGCAGGAAGATCAATTAGCAAACTAATTCATTGCAGTTTGAGATATGTTTCTATTTCCAAAGCAATTATTTGCTAAATAAGGCTCCTTCTCTTAATTGATGGTGTTACTCCATGAATTCATTTGATTTTGGTGTGACTTGCACAGTCTTTGAGATACAGATATGCTTGTGCATCTGCTTGTGCATTTCACTCAGAAACCCATGTGCTTTCATCTACTGACTTAGGACACATCACCCAGAGCACACCTCAGCTTTGGTAATAGAAGCTAAACCAAAAACTTTCATAATATATTATTTGTCTTCTTTTTTACTGAGAATATTAGCTTCTTTTGGTCTTGGGTATTTTCCCTTTAACAGAAATACATATTTAACTTTTGAGTTGGCCAATAAGTAGTAAAATGTGTTTTATGGGCAATGAGTGGTCAAACTATTTTCAAAACTTAAAAGTTATAAATATGACATAAAAATATGAACACCCAGATTACAACTACTTGGATTATTTTCAGAAAAGTATGTTGAAAAGAAATGGGGACTAGAAAGTGCACTTCAGTTGACACATTGAAAAGATAAATCCATTGAATTATTTTTGTAACTTTAATGTCTATGGGTGAATGGAGATAAATAAATATAATTAATACTGTCAATCTCTATTAAAAAGTGCCTTGTTTTAACATAGATTGGATCCTAAAACACTGCCTGTCACATTATGTGCCCTCCCTTCCCGATACACAGACACAGAGTGGAATTTGGTATACTTCTTTCATGTTGCAGCATTTTTTTAAGGACAATTCCTCTGTGACAACCTGAGTTTAGTCATGTTAGCCAGATCCTTAGAAGACTTGCTAAGAACTATACTTGTATTTCTTCTTAATCATGACTTATTTAAAAAAATGTAAGGATATCATTATTAAGTAGACCTGATTCTGTGTCCTGGTGCTGTCACTAAGAAGTTATATGACTTCAGGTAAGTTATTTATCATTGCTAGCTAGCTATTTATTTATTTGTTTGTTTGTTTAGTAGAATGAAGGGATTATACTACTGATCTCTAAGAACTTATTCCTCTTTACTAGTCTAGGAGTCATGATCAGAATTTCAGAGATAGAGTCATGTGTATTACATACATAAATGGGATATATTTTTGTCTCCTGCCTTCACTGTGCATGTGGCTTGAGTACGGGGAAATAATTTGTCACAAATCGTTCTCTTGTAAATAAGTTGACATTCTGAAGTCCCATTTTGTGTGCATTTGAGTTAACTTCTTGAGAACCTGCTAAGATTGAGTTTCTGAGCTTTCAAAACAGGTCACCAGCTCCTACACTGCGTACTGGCCAGCCATTGCCACCTGTCTTACACAACACTACTGTTACCACTTCTATCTACACATCGTTATTGACTTGCCGGCATGAGAACTAGGTGTGCAACTTATTAGCTGTTTTGAACTTGGGTTGGTCATGTAACCTCTCTGCACTTCGGTTTCCTCATCTATAAAATATGGCTGATCATTCCTGCCATGTCTTCCTCACTACTATGTGAAAAAAATCTCATAACCTATGCTATGCAGATGGAGAGTATTATTAGCCATTATCTGTACGTCCATTCGATTATTATTTATTGAAAACCAACTTGATTTTGGTAATGCTGTAATCCAGAGATAAAAGGAAGAGAATAGTCTCTCTATCCATGAGTGGAGGGAGCCAGACAAGTAAATGCAATATAATTTGATAAGTGCTGCCATAGGAGTATGACAAGGTGTTATAATAAAACAAGGGAGGAACTGCCTACCCTGCCAGAGCTGTCCAGAGAAGCCTTCATAGAGAGAGTGACATTTGGACAGAGTCTGGAAGAATCCATAGGAGTTTGACAAGTAGACTCTGACAAGCAGTTTTAAGGGTTTTACACCCGACCTATAAGGTGAACACTCCTAAATCAACATCACCAATCTGAGTCAATCATTTGTGCTCACCATGTCCCTGTTTCATAGTGAGCTGAAGGTGATGTCATTCTCCCAGGGGAGGGAAAAACCCCAAAAGAGAGACAAAAATTGTAATCGTCAGAAGTTCCCATTTTCTTAGTGCTTTGTGTGTTTGGCCTCAGGGTTCTTAGTGCTAAAAGCATATTGGACTATAGATGGAAGCAATAAAATACTAGTAGTGCTGAGAAGAAAATAAGAGTTCTGATTCATGTGCTACCAAAAATTACTTCCAAATGGGCTCAGAGTTTCATCTTAGGAGATCTATTTGGCATGTGTAGCATAAACAAAATGCACATACCAAAAAGTCTTCCTCAGAGAGAGATCCTCTAAAGGATGGAGAAAACGGAAATAAAAGAGGTTGACATTATGGATTAAGACCTTTTTTAAAATAATCACATTCAAATTAATGAAAGCAAAATTGGGTAATATCTATGAGATGCTGCTCTATTAATTATTCATATCATAAATATTATATACTACTCAACTAACAAGGATATTAAAGATATTCAAGATGAATGTCCTATATATTGGCATGAAGATATATGTAATTGGAAACATTTCTAAATTCAGAATTAAGACTCTCTTTCTAGTTAGCTTCTCTGAGATCATCAGAGTTTAAAAAACTGCTTATAATATAGATAAAATTAATAATCCCCAAATTTAAGTTGAATATTTTGTGGAAGAAAATAAAATTCCATATTTATGTAATGTCTAAACATCTTTTTTGCTTATTCTCCTTTATGCTTCAGTCATTCTAGTTCAAATAGTTGACTGCACAGTCTTTTCTTTTGAGATATTTTGAATAGAATATTCAAAATCAGTGAACCTTATATGTTTGAGCACCATGCAGTATCATACTTAGGCATAAAAATTAATTTCAGCTGCTGGGAAAGTGTTCGAGGCAAGTATTATACTTCAATAACTTTCATAGCTGCAAATAAATTATAGAAAATATTTCTTTTCTCTTTCAAATCTGTCAGTTTCCTGCTGCTTCTGTGTGTTTTTGTTTTGTTTTGTTTTTTAAAGAACAATGTGTTACCCAGTCACTCAGTAAATATTTGTTGTGTGTGTGTCCTCATTCTATATCTCATGTACTAGAACTACAGGAACAAGGTTTTGTAGAATTATTGGATTTATTGATATAACTTAAGAAAATGTTACCATTACTCTTAATCATGCTAGCAGATTTCCCCTCAACAAAATAAGTATTTGCTACTATTAATTTGATAAAGAAAATTTAACAATTTTTTGAAAAAATCAGGACTTTTAACAATTTTCGAACAGCTCTTAGATGAGCATTGAAATGGCTAAGTGTTAGGAGGCTAGGTGATATCTATAATATCATGGAGTTTTAGGCCACTGTTCAGTCTTGTTGCGTTTACCTACTAAATATCTTTTGATTCCACCCATTTCTCTCCAAGCCCACTGACGCTATTTTAGTTCTGGGCCTTCACCATCTCTCAGCTGGACCGTTAACAATGATGCCCCGACTGGTATCTGTGTTTACTTCTCTTACCATTGCTAACTTCCTACCCGTTCACCACATTATAGTCAGAGTAAAATTAAAAACAAAACAAACAGGTTAACATTACTTTTCTGCCTTACGATTCTTTAATGACTTCCTGTGGCCTCACGATAAAATCTAAACAGTTTAAAATTAAAGTGGTTTACCAAATCAAAAGAACTATGGTTACTTAAAGGCTGGACCATCTACGTGTGGCTGGATGAGCCATGATCACTAAGCGTGAACTTGCCTCCCAGACTGGGAAAAGTCAAATATTAAAAGTAGAAGCAGCAGAACAAGGCAACAGCAAGTGCCTAAGAGGACCTGAGCCTCTTAGAACAAAGAGAAACTTTGCAAGCACAGTATCAAAACTGAATGAAGGCTGGGAGGCAAATGTATGATTGGCATTATGCCTTAATTGCTCCCGTAGCTAGTGTGGTGTGGGGAGTTATGACAACTGAGGTCACTCTTAATTCTCAGTTTGGGATGTTCTTCCTTCTATCTTAAGTAATTATTCGTTTAAAATCTAAACTCGTCTGAGAGCTCCTTATGTAGCCATGTTGGCTTATAGAGATATGTAATTTTGAGAAGCGCTCATTTCTCTCAAGCCATCCTCCTCTTTACAAGGCCTCAATCATGTCTAAATCTAAACTGTAATAGGAAAGCCAAAGTGAGCATCTGTACTGAGTTAGACTCAAAAGACTAAATTGATAATATACAGAACATTTTATTCATTCATTAAAGGCAATTTGCCTTTAAAGAAATGAGGATGAATTTCTGCATAAAAAGATTG